TCATCCAACGTTCCATTCTTTCAAAACTCTACAATTAAATTGATCCAGCAAATCAAAAGTCAGGAGTAACTTCTTCTCTCAGCATAAAAAGTCGGAGAAGATTTCACTGAAAATAGAAAAAATTGTCAGAGCATTTGAATATCCCCGATATTTACAAAATACCGTGAATTGGTTATTCTAGGAAAGGCACGACAGACTTGAGGACTACTTAAACTTTCACAAAAGTTCTCTTCGTGCCTCAGGTCAAGGTCTCGCGAATCTCTGATTACGAATGAGTAATTAACTAAATTCTTCAGGTGAAAAGAAAGAAAAAGGAATCGAGTATTCAGACCAAGTGCTGCTGGAATGTACAAATATTAACAGGTGCTGTACCATAATATTCTTTACATCCTGTTGAAATCATCGTACTTCCAAGCACACGGTAAACGTCATAAAATGTCTCAAGATCCCGCATTATTTCACAGTGAATACCTAGGTGCTCTCTACTCCACTGAGAAAAAAAATATATTTTCTCAAACAAGTTTTGTTTGAATTAAAAAAATCACTAGTTGAAAATCACTAAAAAAATAAGATCAGCAAAGCAGCCAACTTTGCTCTTACCTGAGTTTCCGAGGAATATCTCCAAATCTAAGGGAGATAGAGGAATTTTTGTAATGACCTTTTTTCTGGCTTTCAATCCGCTCTATAAAAAAGGTTATGACCAAAATTTTCCTATCTGCCTCAGATTCCAAGATATTAATTGAAAACTGACCAATAGTCAAAATCAACTTCAACCATTTTGTTTTACCGCTTCGTTATTGTATTCTAGTGCTGACTATTTGAAGACTGTCCTGAGATGAAAAACTTTAGTCGCAAAAATACATTTAGTAGTTCTAAAAAATTTTAAAGCAGAGCAATTATTCATATTTGAGAACAAATAATTTCGTTTTCATTTTCAACGAACAATTTTTTTGGCTCAAGCTAGACTTGTTTGATAACTTATTCATTTTCCTCTCAGTGTGTATTCATACACCCGAGGCGATTGAAAAATGGATCAAAGCACACCTGTGCCTTCATCTTTCGCGTGGAATTCTTTCAATACTTCTGGCTTTGAAAAATCGAATCATCCGGTTTCACGCGTCTCGCATTAGCAGCCTGAATTCATCTACTGCATTCATCCCTCTGGATTACCCTGGCTTAAGATTTATTCTTTGAAATTCTACGCGATTACGCAATATGTAAGGATGAGGGGAGGGGGAGGGGAATATTGATGCTGGCGATGGTTCATTTCATTTTTTCTGTAATCCGAATCGTTCACGCTGAATTTATTATCAGTTTTGATGGTTTCGGAGTGGAATTCATTCAATGTGGAGGCGAATAGTCTGTGATTATTAGTTTATCGTTGAAGAGAGGAAAGCACAGGGACAAGCACATAGAGAAAAAGAGTTTCTGGTTTTTAGAACAAAGATGGAGGGAGAATTTTTAGCAATTTTTCCGTAAAATTTCGAATTATGGATAAAGAAACTCTTTCAAATTTCAGTGGAATTATGTGTGTAATTAAGTCAACATTTCAGGTTATATACCTTTAATAATGAAGAATTATGAATTTTGGGAATATTTCGAATATTTTTCATTCCATCAGAACAGAAAAAAACCGTCAATTTAAATGCGAGAATAATCTTAATTCAAGAATTGAGATTTTTGGAGTAATAATCGGAAATTTTAAGAAAAAATATAAAAATTCGAACTTTCTTGCCTATTTTCCAAACGAAATCTCCTTGGAATAAGTGACAATTCTAGAGTTCAGAAATTTCGAGATTTTTATTGGGAACTAGATAGATTTTTTCTCTGTTTACTATCAAAGAAAAAATTATGTTGTATTTCGAAGAAAATTTCCGGCAATTCCTGAAATGGAAGCCGAGCAATCTAATTATTTCACTCGAAAGTAATTAACACTGTTCTGGAAAACTAGAAATTTCAATGAAATTTAAAAATTTCTGCGCAAAATAAATATTGAGTACCAAGGGAACACTAGATTTTAAATTAATTGGAAATATAAGAATATATTTATCTAAAATTTACACTTTTAATTGATTATTCAATAAAATTTTGAATTATCAGTGACGAAAGGCATTGAAATTTTATTAGAACTACAATGTACAAGTGAGTGAAGATGTCAGATTATACTTTTAATAACGAAGGATTATCGATTTTGAAAATATTTTGAAAGATATTTAAATTTCAAGAATAATCTCAATTCAATATAAAATATTAAAAATTTGAACTTTCTTTCCGTGGAAATTCCAGAGTTCTGAAATTCGAAGATTTTCGTTGAAAGCTAAAAACGTTTTTTCTCTGTGTACTAAGAAAAAAATAAAATAATACATTGCATTACGAATAAAAATTCCAGAAATCAAAAGGAAATATTCATAATTTGCCTCAGTTCCTCCTGAACGTCTTCTCCGCATGGAAAAATCAAAACAATTCTCAAATAAACAAAACTTCATCGTATGCGAAGGCAAAATGATCAGGATTGTCATGCGTCGAGGACAACAGTATCATTTTCAAGACGAATGACAACAATGGAGCATGAAATACGAGTGCGTAAATTGATATATAAGCTGTGCTAATGAGACAAATTGAAACTAAATATTCAGCGTTTATGCCTTTGATACGGGTTCATTGTGCTTGGAGAAGCGCAGGAAAAATTCGATGGATATTTCGGTTGCCCAGTAGAATAAATTTTTAACCGACAGTTGTATCATATATAAATATTCTATATCACATGGAAGGGATATTGGGGGTAACATATATCGTGCTAATTTTCTAGTGTCAATTAATCAATTGTGTTTGAGTATTGCAGTGAGAGACGAGTATACTTCAGCCGGAAGAGAAAATATTCCAGTTCAGAGTCATTTTCCTGAATTTATTTGCGAAGAATGACGAAAACAACTGAATGTTTGGGAAAGATGTTGATATTTTGTCGATTTTATTGCAACAAATCGCGGATGTTGCAAGCAAATAGTTGACATTGTTGAATAAAAATTAATTTTTTCGTACTAAATTGAATTTTTGAAAGAAAATATGATTTCTCAGCAAATTATCGTTCTTAAGGAGAATTCTAATTGATATTAAAGAAAATTTTATATTTTTTTGAATAATAGTTTTACGTGAATGACAAAAACATTCAAAAAACCATAAATTTCTCATGAACCGAAAGTATTTCCTCCCCTCATAATACCAACATTAAGGTAAAACGCTCTTTAATCGTGATAGTTTTTATATCAATTAATTAATTATGTTGGAGTATTGCAGTGAGGAATGGGAATACTTCACCCGGAAGAGGAAATATTCCAGTTCAGAGTTATTTTCCTGAATTTATTTGCAAAGAATGACGAAAACAACTGAATGTTTGGGAAAGATGTTGATATTTTGTCGATTTTATTGCAACAAATCGCATATGTTGCAAGCAAATAGTTGACATTGCCGAATAAAAATCAATTTTTCCGTATTAAATTGAATTTTTGAAAGAAAATATGATTTCTCAGCAAATTATCTTTCTTAAAAAGAATTCTAATTGATATCAAAGGAAATTTTATATTTTTCTGAGCAATAGTTTTACGTAAATGACAAAAACATTCAAAAAACCATAAATTTCTCATGAACCGAAAGTATTTCCTCCCCTACAATACCAACATTAAGGTAAAACCCTCTTTAATCGTGATAGTTTTTATGTCAATTAATTAATTATGTTGGAGTATTGCAGTGAGGGATGGGAATACTTCACCCGGAAGAGGAAATATTCCAGTTCAGAGTTATTTTCCTGAATTTATTTGTAAAGAATGAAGAACACAACTGAATGTTTGGGAAAGATGTTGATATATTGTTGATTTTGTTGCAACAAATCGCATATTTTACAAAGAAATAGTTGAAATTGTCGAATAAAAACTTGATTTTTTCACATTAAATTTACTTTTTGCAAGCAAATATCACTTCTCAGTAAATTATTTCCCTTTAAAAAAATCTAATTCAAACTAATGGAAATTCAATATTTTTCTAATGAATACTTTTACGTAAATCACAAAAATATTAGAAAAATCTATAGATTTCTCATGAACCAGAAGTATTTTCTCCCCTCATAATACCAATACTGAGGTAAAACGGTCTTTAATCGTCAATAACTCGAAAACAGCAGATCGAAATTCCCCAATTTTTCTGTCATTTTCTTCAATTTTAAAGAAATTTTTCTATGTTTTCAAGCTTAAATATGAGACACTGACATTGGCAATTCCATCTTACCCTACAAGGAGAGAATATAAAATTAAATATCAGTATGTGAACACATAACAGTAATCGAGGGCTATACGGCAATACTCTAAAATCTGATTTTTTGTGATGTCTGTATGAAAAGTGCACTTTCCAAAAGTAAAATTATTTGCAACTAAAAAGTATCATTAATGCGATGACGCGTCCCACAGATCAAATGCCACTTTTACGCACTGGTATCGAAATATATTGTATTTTAACCGAATTTTCACTTGCACTGAATTAAATTTTGCTTTTATGCTATGTTTTTAATCTTACTATATTTAAGACTAAAGTTTCAGTAGCGAAGTGGTCAAACGGTTCAAATCAATTTAGTCTTTAGTTGAATTTTCTAGAAATATTTCCGAATTTAAGGGAGAGATTGAAATTTTCATAATAACCTTTTTTGTAGAGCGAATTGAGTGCTACTGAAAAGTTTATGAGAAAAATTTTGCTATCTCCTTTAGATTTCGAGATATTCATTAAAAACTGGCCAGTAACCAAAATCGACTTAAATCGTTTGACCACTTCGCTACTGGTTTCGAGTATGGTGGGTATGTTTTTAGTATTCTCATATTAATTTTACATTCTTTCCATGCACCCTCCCCCACTGCGAAAATCTGTGAGTCTCACTGAATTACAAAATACGTAGAAAAATTAATCACGATTATACCTGTTAGTGTTATCTACTGAATAATAAAGTATTTAATACTCACGGTGATGCGTGGGATAATTATTGTTGTTATTCGAGAAAAGTCTGTAATCCATGGTGTCGAGCCCTCGGCGTACACTAATCGCCAGTAAATCGCCGAGTGTCCGTTTTTTTTTGCACGTTTTACAACAACTAATGTGCTTGACAAAACCCCGGACGTTCTTAGTGACTGTCTGTTATGATCCGGGCGTTAATTACCCCAATGAGCAAATGTAACACGAAGAAGGATCGATCGATCGTTACGACGCATCGATATGCCAATGGGCACACGGTGAATTCATGAGGTGACACCGGTAACACGGTTTACCATCCACAGGTATCATCTGAATGTCTCTATTAACAGGACCGGTGATATGTATGTAATGTCGGACACGTGGAATGGACGAAAAATCTCCGCACGTCTAAAAAAAAAAGAAAATGAAATAAATAAAAGTATTGAATAATTTTGATAGAGAGAAAAAGTTTCTGGTTTGGACGCTGCTACGGAAAAATCGAAATTTTAGGAACAGTTGACTGGGAATTTTCAGGAGAGTGACAGTGAATTTAATTTAAAGAGAGACAAATCATTCAGATTTCAAGAAAATTCAACATTTTTGAACAGCAGGAAGACGACAATTCCCTCAACTTATTTGAATTTTGTATCAAAAGGTGAAGATTCAATACAACATCACGCTGAATTAAACACACAGGTGTATAAAACTTCAACTGCGTGAAACATACAGGCGTATCAAAATGCAACTGCGTGAAACACACAGGTGTATAAAAATACAACTGCGTGAAACACTTATGTGTATAAAAATACAACTGCGTGAAACACACAGTAGTATAAAACTTCAACTGCGTGAAACACAGTAGTATGAAACTTCAACTGCGTGAAACACACAGTAGTATGAAACTTGAACTGCGTGAAATACACAGCAGTATGAAAATTCGGCTGCGTGAAACACACAAACTTCACGCATGCGTGGAGTGTATAGAGTGTACAGGAGTGATTCACGCAATGGTGCGAATAGTCACGGCCATAATTGAACTCAAATTCATGGTTTGCATGGATTTCTCCCTGAAATTTTGAATTGTCATTGAAAAAAATCCTTGAAATTTCTGCGGAATTATAATGCCAAAATTTTCAAGTTCACCGAAAATTTAATTCTGGAACTCATACATATTTTCAACCAAGATTTCACTAGTGAAGTGGTAAAACGGTATAAGTCAATTGCGACTATTAGCCACTTTTCAGTGAATATCTCAAAATCTAAGGAAATATTCCTCAAAAACTCAAATGGGAGATAAGTCGACTTAAACCGTTTTACCACTTCGCTGCTGATTCGATTTATCCTCCCACTAATTTCTCTTTTCTTCAATCATTCATTATTTCTTTGAAACATCCAAAAATTTCCCTGATTAACAAAAAAACAAACAAATTTCATTTTTTTTTAACCGAGATTCCAGTCTAGAAAAAATAGGAAAAAATTCCGAATAACGCAGAGTACTCAGATATTTCTCCAATTAATTTTTCAATTTTGTATCCATTGCTTTGACTGTTCACCCGAAACCGATAACACCAACAAACCAAAACTCAAATTCCATTCATAAAAAGAAGATGCAAAAGCACATGTAGCGCGTACGATTTTACGACTTATTTTGCATTATGTTGTACCACTGGCATTCGGCCGTTCACGGTTGTCTTCCCTCCCCCCCATGGCATCGCATACCGTCACATCCATCGTTCTTTGGTTGAGAAGCCCATCCGAAGTCTTGGGACCACACGGAGAGTTCTCGTTTTTCCCCCCGCATATATTTTTGTCCCACTCCCACAACCAGCTCCACACATCCATCTTCATTCTCTCTCATCCGTTTCAATCTCCACTCTTCGTTTTCATTTTTCCTTTCTTTCTGTTTCATTCGCGTGCGCGCATTTGAACTTGTGTACCTGGAACACAAGATGGTAGATGAGGGGAGTATAACAACGAAGAGGAGGCAGAACGGTTGAATCATACAGCAAAAGGCACCGCGATGGGCACCTCAAACGAGCCAAAGGTCCTTGTTACGTTCACCGAAGAAGACCTCGTTTCACACCGGAATGCTGAGAGCCGATTAGATACACATGATGTGGAATGAATTTATGAAAATTAAGGTGGAAGGGTAGGAAGATGTATACCGGATAATTCTAGTTGAGAGAAAAGTGGCGGGAAGCTCTGCAAAAACTATTGTCTGAATTTCAATGAATTGAAAATTCAGGATAATTTTCTCAATTCAGATTTCGACCGAATACCCCTCAACCTCCAAAATTCATCGGACATTTGTTAACAACAAAGCTTTCAGGAAATATCTAACAATTCCGAAAGTATCGGCGGACTACAAAAGATATTTACTTGAATTTTTATGATTTCTATGAATTTTTAAAGAAAATGAAAAATAATAATGAATAATAGAAATGAATTCAACTGGAGTCGACAATTTCCATTGATTTGTCGGTCAAATAATATATTTTTATAAAAGTATTCAACGGTGCATTAAGAGAAAAAATTACTTTTGACAAAGAAGGTTTGCTTAATACAAGAAATCATTCTCTCGTCAATTTTAAAAATCGTGAAATCTCCTGATAAATAATTTCGTCCTCAGACTGAGAGAAAAGTTTTCCAACAGGACTTTGATTACATAAAATCTTGCAAAAAGAGCACAACACTTGAGATCAATGTGCTATACACTTGAATTGATAATGAAAGTGATTGTCGTACAATCGAAACAAGAATTCCTCAGTTGGAGATGATGAGTGATCAGATCGGGAAAGTGTGAATTCTCAGCATCCATTAAATTCCGGCTATAATGCAAACTATATGAATTTATGGGAAGACTTATGCTGACACTTCAAATTTTCTTGGGACAAGAGAACCTCATCCTGTCGAAAGACTTTTTCCTCTCAGTGTGAGCACAAAATTATTTACCAGGAGATTTCACGATTCTAGAAATTGACAAGAGAATATTTTCTAGTATCAAGAAAATCACCTTTGTCAAATGCAAATTTTTCTCTCAGTGTGTACTAACAATGAATTACATTCATGAGAATATAATGTTAACCAAAATGATCAATCAGTACTTTTCCCTCCCTGTACGAACCCGATTGCCCTTGATCTACAGGAGATAAATGTGATCACTATACGGATCAGATAAATGTCCAGCTACACCACTAACTAAAAAGAGAAAAAAAGTTGATCTCATATTCATACATATCGGATGTCATTCAGCGGCTCAATGCGAGAGTGCATGATATCCGACGAAAAAGCCCGCGATTCAAATAAAAAGTCGACTCTAGTCGCTTAATCTCGCACAATGAATTTCTTCCCAGGAATGAAAAGGATAGAGGGATGGGGAGTAAAACTGGTCATTCAGGTATCCTGCCCACAGAATTCCACACATGTGTGTGCCTCCGCTCGAATTTTACGATGACAAACCCCTCGCAAATACGAGAACTAATCCAACTAGTCGAAAAATGCACTTTTCCCGTTGTCCAATGTATGTATATCGTGCTCGAGTTGCTGTAAAGTTCCAAATTTCATTCAAGTGAGTATGCGTATTTCAGCGTCAACGCCTACATACTGATGGGTTTACTTCTGTGCGAGTGGGATGTAACGTGTATATACCAGGGAACGGAATTTACGTGACATGAACATCAACGGTTGCCAAAATTCCGCCTACATGAGTGGTATTTATGATTAAGTTTGTGATATCTTTTACTTTATGGGAGGGATTTTACTCAGATGCGAAAATACGTTTGAAAATCTCGGATTATGGAGATAGCGGGGGAACAAATCAGTCGTCAATTGAATTGTGGGCAATAAAATGAGAAATTGATCACTTTTGCGTGTTTAAGGTATTTATGGCGGGGTGGGCATGTAGGAGGTGAGACGGAGAGCAATCTATTGTTCTCTCGCAGAAAATCGCTGAACAAAAAAAAACAATATTTCAATTACAAATTTTCAATCTATTTCGCCCATTTTTGTGTTTGAAATATTTTTTTAATAACTTTTTTTTGAGGAATATCTCGCAAACTAAGGGAAATATCGAAATTTTCATAATGACCTTTTTCACATCTCTCAATTCGCTCTACAAAAAAGGTTCTACCAAAAATTTTTCTATCTGCCTTACATTCCGAGATATTCACCGAAAACTGACCAATAGCGACAATAATCAGTGCCATGTCCCTAAATATCGAAACTGTTTTTCTCTGCGAATGTTCCGCCCATTTCAGCTTCATAAAACTTCGCGATATCAACACCTCCGAAGCTGTCATTAAGTACCAAACGATTCGTCATATGAATATTCAACTGAGATGAAGAAAAGCTATTAACGGCAATTATGCTACGGCCATTATACCCGAGATTGGGTTATAGTCTCCTGAGAAATGGTAGCAACGATGATCGTTCAGTTTGCACATAGCCCCACCTAATCTCTCTTCCC